AATTGGTGCTATGTAAATAAATGAATTTAGTTGAGTTATTTTTAAGGGGGAAATTACAAAGTCAATCAACTGTTTTGGTTTAGTTTTCCTGAACTATTGACTTCCCATGAAGAATTTAACACAGCACCGTAGAATAACACTTCTTGATGGTATTGTAACTGGTGATCATACATTGGCAATTACAACCTCACTGCCGGTTTTACTTGAACAATTTCTTCTCACTTCTCTGTCTCTTGAGGATAGCAAAATAATTTTGCTTAGCTTTTAGTAGACATTTTAATTGATGCCAAATTTAGAGGAAAATTATTATCTCTTTTATGCTGGTTTCTGATCTTCCGCTTCAATTAAATTATAAGTAAGCTGGCCTTTGCTTCCTCTCTTTTTCAGGACATGAAGACAAGTGGAAATATGAGTGCCTCAGAATTGTTTTGATTGGAAGGTCTGGGTGTGGGAAGAGCTCTTCCGGAAACACTATCCTGGGTAGAAATGAGTTTGATCAAAAGCTAAGCCAAAAGTCCGTCACAAAGTCTTGTAAGAAATCAATGGGTGAGGTAGAAGGTCGTCCTGTTGCTGTGGTGGACACTCCTGATTTCTTTGATAACAGTTTTAGCCAAGAAGAAGTGAATAACGAATTGTTGCGATGTATCAGCCTTTTGGCTCCAGGCCCACATGTCTTCTTGGTTGTAGTACAAATCGGAGCAAGGCTTACACCAGAAGAGAAGGAGACACTTAAACTTATTAAAGACAGTTTTGGAAAAAATTCTGAAAAGTTTACTATCATCCTTTTAACCAGAGGGGACATGCTGCAAAAACAGTCCATTGAAGATTACATAGAAAAAGACTGTGATGAATCCTTTAAAGAGCTTATTAGAGACTGTGAGGAAAGATACCATGTGTTTGACAACAGCAATATTAAAAACCGAGGACAGGTAGTAGAGCTGATCAGAAAGATTGATAACTTGGTGGCCAAAAATGGATGCTTCACAAATGAGATGCTGCTAGAGGCTGAAACAGCCATACAGGAAAAAATTCAGATAATCCTTCAGGAGAAAGAGGAAGAATTTAAGAGAGAAAGGGAGAAACTAGAAGAAAGACACCAGAGGAAGAGGAAAAAGAAAGAAAAAAAAATAAAAGAAGAAAGAGCAAAAACTGAAAAAGAGATCAAAGAAAACAATGCCAAAATTCAGGAGATCAAGAGAAAACTCCAACAGGCTCAAGAGGAGAAACTGAAAGAACAAGAGAGGAGAAAAGTATTAGAATCTTCATGGGCACATCACACAAGCGCTATGACAGGAAGTGTTTATGAAAGCATTTATCAATGTGTAGATGAATCAGAACATATTTATGAACCTGTTTCTGATTACTATAACATTGGCCAAATCCCACAAAAAGGTAAAATCATAACACAGCAGCCCTTGGATAAAACTATAGAAACTTTACAACAGAAATGGCAAGAGCAGGACAAAAAGAGGCAAGAGGAAGAAGAAAATCTTGAATATTTATATGAAAGCATTAAAGAGGAATTAACAAAACAACTGGAGGAGGATGAAAAAATAAAAGAAAAGGAGGTTTTATATGAAGCGAAAATGGATTATGTATTCAAGCAAGAATTAGACAAACTAAGAGAGAAACATGAGGAAATAGCCCGTCAAAAAGCCGAAGAGCTTAATGAGTTCAAAGAGGAATTTAGAAAAGAATTTAAAGCTCAGACAAAAGGACATACAAAAAAGGAAAAAAACTTACTAAAGGCCCTTAAGGAGTTCACTGACAGGGGAAATAAATCCAAACGCAGAAAGGAAAACATTGACATGGTGAAAAGTGTGACCAAAAACAAAGAACTGAGGCAAATGATTTCAAAACAATCAGAAGAGATGAAAAACACCACAACTCGACAACAAATGATTAATCTGGAAAAAAAACACGACAAAGAGCTGGATGAACTGATTCTACAGCTTATGGATGAAATTAACATATACTAACTGCTTTATTTACTTTGGTTGGACAAATGGGATCAACATAGCAGACTGACGATGGATCAGAAGAGTTTATCAGCATAACAAAGGCTTTATCTCGAGGAAAATCAACAATGTACAAATAAACCGCTGATGACTAAAAATAACTTATTTACTGCAACATTAATAAATTATTTCTACATTTTCAATTATTCAGTGGAGAAATATAGCAATGCTTTCAGAAACTTTAACCTAATACCTAAATTTATACCAAAATTTGTTTAACCAATGCTCCTATTAGAGACTCAGCTGTTGAGCTCATACTACATGACTGGTAAGCAATTTAAAAATAAGATTTAA